TAATCCACCATATTAACAAGCTAATGAATAAAGAAGATAACATGATCATATTTGATGCAGCAGAAGCCTTTGACAAAATTCAGCCGTTCATGTTAAACAACTCAGAATCATAGGATTCGTGGGGAACTTTCTCAACTTGAACATCTGCATAAAACCTACAGCTAACATCATACTCAGTGGCGAAAGCTTGAATGTTTTACTCCTGTGGTTGGGGGAACAAAGCAGGGATGTCCACTATTACCACGTTTATCCAACATGATGCTGGAAGTTCCAGGCAGTGCAGTAAGGCAAGAAAAGGAAGCACAAGGCATATAGATCAGAATGGAAGAGGTGAAATTGTTGCTAATCCAATCACATGACTATCTATAAATATCCCAAGGAATGGACAAGAAAACTCCTAGAACTAATAAGTGAGTATAGCAAGGTTGCAGGACACAAACATACAAAAATCTGTCTTATTTTTACATAATGGTAATGAACACGTGGACAGTAATATTAAAAATATACCATTTACACCAAAACACAATTACTCAGATACAAACTAACAAAATATAAGGGACTTATATGCTGAAAATAATATAATGTGGATGAGAGAAATCAAAGAAGATTTAAGCAGAGACACATACTATGTTCATGGATTGGAAGATTCTACATTCCAAAGATGTCAGTTCTCTCCAAATTGATATACAATTTCTATCAAAATCCCAGCATGTAGATCAATGAAGGAGAATAGACCCAACCGGAAATACGCTCACATGAGTTACAGGTGCAGATACAACTGCAGGAGATGCAGATCAATTCAGCAGGTGAAAGTTAGGCTTTCCGCAGATGGCGCCAAGGCAGTTAGACATCTGTAAGCAAAAAAATGAAGCTTGACCCAAGTGTTACACAAAGCTTGTCCAACCTGCCGCCTGTGGGCTGCATGCGGCCCACGACAGCTTTGAATATATGGCCCAACACAAATTCATGAACTTTCTTAAAACATTGTGGGTTTTTTTTGTTTGTTTGTTTTTGGTGATTCTTTTTTTAAGCTCATCAGCTATCATTAGTGTATTTTATATGTGGCCCCAGACAATTCTTCCAGTGTGGCCTAGGGAAGCCAAAGGATTAGACACCCCTGTTTCATACCTTAGAAAATATTAACTCAAAATAGATTATGAAATTAAATGTAAAACATGAAGCGATAAAACCATTTAAAAATAGGAGAAAATCTTCAAGTTCTAGGACTAGGCAGAGAGTTCTTAGAGGTGACACCAAAAGCATCCATAAAAGGAAAAATTGATAAATTAGACTTCATCAGAATTTAAAGCTTTTTTGCTTTGGGAAATACCATATTAAGAAGATGAGAAGATAAGCTACATACTAGGAAAAAAATATTTTCAAATGACGTGACAACGGAATAGTGTCTAGAATATATCAAGAACTCACAAAACTCAACAGCAAAAATAATATAAAAAATTCAATCAGCAAATAGGCAAAAAAATAGAAACAGACATTTCACCAAATAGGAGACCCAGGTAACAAGCATAGGAAAAGATGTTCAACAGCACTAGTTATTGGGGAAATGCAAATTAAAACCACCAGACACCACCTAACAGCACCTATCAGAATGGCTAAAATTATTCAAGAATAGAGACACCAGCAATTGCTGGTGAGGGCACAGAGAAAATATCTGCCAGTAAACAAGCAATAGCCAGGTCCAGAGGGTTAAGAAAACTTTGTTCAGCCAAACTTAAGAAACCATTGGTCTGGGCGTGGTGGCTCATGCCCGTAATCCCAGCATTTTGGGAGGCCAAGGCAGGCAGATCACAAGGTCAGGAGTTTGAGACCATCCTGGCCAACATGGTGAAACCCCATCTCTACTAAAAATACAAAAATCCTGGCGTGGTGGCACACGCCTGTAATCCGAGCTACTCGGGAGGCTGGGGTAAGAGAATTGCATGAACCCAAGAGGCGGAGGTTGCAGTGAGCTCAGATTGTGCCACTGCACTCCAGCCTAGGTGACAAAGTGAGACTCCATCTCAAAAAAAAAAAAAAA